CGTGGAAATAACCGATAGATTAGGCACAGGCTGTTTATTCGAGTCGCTTGCAGTTGAATGAGACGTTTCAGACTGCGATTTTGGTGGAGGGAGAGGAGGAAAGCCTGTCGTGTCGGTCTTGTTTCGTCGCGTTTTACGGGGCTTAACCTTGGTAAAACCGTCAGGGAGTGTATCGTCGTCTGTGGAAAGATCGCTTGAATTATTTAACGGTCTCTTAAGATTGACAGCTTTGTCTTTACTGGGATTTTTGGGAAGTGTTTGGGAAGAATTTGTAATATTTAGATGGGAAGGTACCTGGGTTTTCAGTAGGAGTTCTAATTTAACTGTTAGGTCGGTAATTGTCCGCTGCTGGGCTTCGATGATCATCATCAATCTTTCATTGGTCTTCTTATCATCGTCCTTTTTTGACAGCTCCTGTCGAACCATCTCCAATTCGGCTCTCAGCTCCTCTATGGTCTGCTCCTTCGACTCCATCTCCATTGCCATGGTGGAAGCGCCATTTCCTGACCCCCCTGGGCCAGTTTCCATAGTAAATACCTTGGTTATTACGGGACAGCTGCTAGCAGTGCCCTATACAGGGCGATTGGGGAGTTACGGTATGGGGTGCTATTGCTTCTGGTAGCAGATCACCACTAATTTTCATCAGAGGCAATATGACAGCCCGACGCTGTTCAGGAAGTAGTGGCGCCTCATTCCATACCTAAATACCATCCAAAACCCGATTTTTCAGCAAGACAATGCCACACCGCATGTTGCCTGAGCATGGTTAGCCTTCATGGATCAACATCGCATCAACCGTTTACCTTGGCTACCACCACCGCCTGACCTATCTCCAATTGAACATGTCTGGGAGACGATAGGTCAAAGGCTCTTTCCCCAACAGGATATCGACCACCTTATCAGCACGATGCCCAGGCGTGTCAATGAGTGTGTAAGAAATTGTGGCTCCTCAATACATTATTGAACTAGTTTCTGCAATCAGTTGAAGCATCAAGCTGAAAATTCAATCATTTTACTAGTAAGGAACATTGAACATATATGCCAAAAATTAATAAAATCGGATAAACATACATGCTTACCGTTTTTGTCACTCAGTGTATATGCCACAAATCGAACTTTTCTCGAAACGTATGTAATATGGACATTACATGGTAAGTGACAATCTAGAAAAGATCCTAAATATTTGATACTATCCAATTTATCAATTTTTAGAATTTTGCTACTTATGTTAAAATAAAACTGGGTATAGTCGTTATAAGGTAAATTATTGGAATATGAGACAAATGGTAAAAAATGTGTTTTTCTAAAATTCGTGTCAAATTTCCTTTTGTTAAACCACTGTACAATTTTGCAGAAAGAACTTTCAATAATATTCTTTAAATCACCCCAGTCATTACATTTATAGAGTACGGCAGCACCATCTGCAACGCTTATTATTTTGCCAGTATAGTTAATTCTTAATAAATCATTAATATTGAATAAAAGTGTACCCGAGACTGTTCCTTAAGGAACACCTCATTTTACAAACATTTCATTGCTTTCCATATTTTAACTGATTGAGACATATTATTTAAATTACTTTCCAATAGTGAATACATACTTCTACGCAATCCTGATGTATATAAAGTTTATAAACTTAATTCATGATTGACAGTATCGAATAATTCTTGCAGATCAACAACCATACAGATTGGTGGGAGATTTTTTCATCAAGGTTTCTGTTGACTTCACTTATGACTCCAGTATTCCAAACGATGTAGATCTATCTGCCTTTTAAGAATCCATACTAATTTTCATTAAGAATTTTAATCTTATTTATAAAATCAAGCATTTTGCTTGCTAGGGTAGCACTCCGATTCTTTGAGAAAGTCAATCCGGTATACTGATTTCACCAGAATATTTCCATCGTTCCCTACCCTTAAACTATATATATATTTGAAGGGCGAAATGAACCTGAGTATATATAAAAGCTAGACCTAGGTCCAAAAACGTTTCCATTCACGGGGAGCGCAGGAATTTTTTTCAGGGGGAACGATCATAGACATGCGACAACTTTTTGTGAAAGTGTAGCTGTCCCAAAAAGCGGGAGTATCAGATTTTATCAGGCGGGGGGTAAATCCCGAAAGCTCTCTCAAAATTGTACACAAAAGGATGCTAAATATGCAAATTTTAAGATTAAACTCTTATCCCAGCGGGAGGGGTCATGGCCCACCTGGCCTTCTCCTGTGTACGTCCAGATTTTTTTTCACTTAGCGATACTACAACTTCGGTGAGTATCTATTTGTTGAAGATTATTAAATCTTTCGAGTAGGTTTTTATACCATTTTTAAATTTTGGTGTAGGTATCCAGATTTATAAAAAGCTCATTATCATTGCAGTCGTTCATATAACAGAGCAGCAAGCATCAAACAACTGAGCTACACATACGAGGGTTGTCTCAAACATATGGGTTCCACATTTTTTTCTTTCGCAAGGAATTTTTTATTTGAAAAAATGAATTCACCATTGGAAAAGATGATTTTTCTTTTTCTTTTCATAGTCGCTACTTTTTTCTATGCATTTTTTAGACTTGAAGTCCACTTATGCATTCCCGCCTCAAGGATGACCACCGCCAGCCCGTTTAGAAACTTGGTAACTGCTCCTTGCAACCCCTGGTCCGTCTCGAACCGTTGACCACCTAGGTGGTCCGTCAATTTCGGAAACAATATACCAGAGCTGTAAGGGGGATGAGCCATCACTGCCCAGCCAAGTCGCTCGATTAGGCTTCATTGCGGGCCGGTTGTCAGATTTCGCTTAGCATCACTCGCGGCAAAAATACAGTCATACTCTTGAGACAACCCTCGTAACTGCACAAAGCTAGTCTGCCTGCTACAGAAACGAAGTTCCAATGATATTCTACCCTCAAAACAGTCTCAGCATTTGCATATTTTGATAAAGTTTGTCGCTATAAACTGTGTTCTTTCCAGCAAAGTATAATAATCTAGCATCCCCGCTATATGCAATTTTGTCCACTTTTTCCATTTTTTGATCAAAACTGCAATATGTTTTGTGCCAAAAAGTATCTGGTTGAGTTTATAGTCCTCCCATTCTAGTCCAGACAGTGGACCTAATTTTAATATGATGATGTTATTACCATGCAGGTCAGGAAATTATAAAATTTAATATTCATCTTTTGCCAAAAAACTGAGTGGCTTTGAATGTAGACCCTCATGGTATCATTAGACATAGGCGGGTACGTTTCGCATGTGATAATTGATCGAAGAAAACGTATTTCAATTGCGCAATTACCTTCTCATAAAGGCTGTATCTGCAGCTTTGCTGCTGATATTTTTTTTTATATACTCCAACCACCACGAAGGCCTATGGGATACCGTGGGGCTATAGGGGGATACAGGGGAAAGGGGGAACGCCACACGGACTCTGGCGAGGGAACACGTGTGCATGTAACATGGACACATTCTGGCCCCGCCTACGAGATCCGCCCGGTGGTACCTCTGCGTTCGACAGTCAGAGACCGTCTACCACCTACGGATAATCACAACATCTATAGCCAAGAGAAAAATTTCTCTTGGGTCGGGATTCGAACCCGCACAGCGCACGGCGACTGATCAGGAGACCAAAGAGTCAACTTCTGCGGCCACCGCTGCTGCCTAATGGAGCTTAGCATATTTTTCACTACTAACGTTCTAACCGTTTGACTTTGTGATTTTTTTTCACAATGGTTATAGTTATCGGTCTATTCAGAAACAAAGATGGACAATTTAAAAAACACTTTTCTCTCTACTCCAAAAATTTCACACAGAGTTGTCGGACATATCGACGCTTTTCAAAAACTAATCTGTTATTTTTTGAGTGATGTGTACGAGTCAACCAAAAAAATAGCATTTGAAAACAGAAAGTTGTGAATCATTTGGGAAACGCTTTTCTTAAAAGTAATGATGCTTACTCGACCTCTCCGGAAATTATTGAAACTGAACGTGAATTGAAACTGATTTTGCTATCGCTGGTATCGGCATCCATATGGGCTTTTCGTTGAAGTTTAGTAGAAGCCTGGAAAGTGAGCCATACTTTGCCAATTTTGACAAGGTATTTCGTTGCCACTGAAGCATGTTTCTACCAAAACGTACTGAATGATTTCTGCACTAGTCATGCTGTTAGACCAAGATATATAGCAGTTTCCCCGATAAGCATTATACATTACTTCTACTTTATTCGATGCTTATTGTCTTTTGAGTTTGCTCGATATTGAGGTAGTTGATCAAACAGTTAAACAACTCGCTGGTATATGAAGATGCATTTTTCCTATGGCAAGCAAGAAAGTCCCTTTTGAAGACGCCCATGGCTCTGAAAAGCTGCAACGGCTCGAGAATTCCAAAACAAGCGCACGTTTATTTCAAAAATTACCATAATTCCGCAAAATCGATTACAAAACATAGTGTTTGATATCAAGTACACAATTAATATAAGCCTTGTGTTTAAGGGTATCAACCAGACTATAGTATTATGTACTTTATTCCTTTTTGTGTTGCGTCGCCGGCTCTATGCTAAGATAATTGTGGTGTTTTGTGGCATTTTTTTGCGCTAATCTCATGTTCCATGGACCGGAAATTTTAATGCGAAATTATAATATAAAACGAGGCTTTCGAATGGAAAATAAAGAGAAAAAACTTAGATTCCGTAGGTGTTATTCAGCATGGATATTACAGCGTTTTGGTTTTTCTTATAACAGATATTCCTGCCCGGTAAAGGTTGCCATTTTCGTGCAATTACATATTTATGAAAAATACGGAGCTTTCAGTAGACGTTATGCCGAACAACTCAATCGAGAAATGATAACTATACTGAATATTTAATCTCGGTTCGTGTACGAGATTGTTATACTTATAAATAAGGATATAGTTATGTGATTAAGAATTACTGTGATCGAAGAGTATTAAGAACAGTGGCCAATCAGCTAAATCGTTTATACGGATTACACATGCATGTTTTAAAAGTTCTATTTAGTTTTCGTTGCCGGTCTGCAGTAATCAAATTATATTTTTTTATACAGGGTAGAATTGTAACAACCGAAATGAAGACTAAATATCAATACCATCGAATTACCTATAAAGGTTATTCAAAAATCACGAATTACAAAAATTGCATTCGCACAGGGGTACCTTTACCAGAAATACGCATAAGGACTTATTAGTTACTCGCACAAAAATTCATTTGTTCTATAAACTGCCTTATTTAGCAAAATGTTCCCAAGATTACTTTCTAATTAAGGGTTAATATAAAATTAGACAAAAGTACCCCTTATTTGCGAAATTATTGTAAACTCTGGTTTTATTGATGCAAGCTGTTCAAGGGCATATTTAAAACATGGACGCATAAAATTGGTACACCAATTTTTGTGGGAAAACTTTTTATTCGACAACAAAGGATGAGAAAACTTGTTTTTTGGGAGTCAATAGAAAGTGTTGGCAGGAACGAAAAAGCTCTTTAAATAAGATTTCTAGGTATTTATGAGACCTACAGAATTAGAATACACGTAAGAATATCCCACTAATAGTAAAAAAGTTATGGCCTAAGACTAAGACCAAGGCAAAATGCAGATTTTGACACTTTCGGATAAACAATTAGAAATTCTTAAAAACTACTTGATCAATCGTCTCCAATTTTGTTGTGGTTGTTAAGAAGTATAAAGCATACGGATTTGAATAATTTCAAGAAGCTGCGTGATATTATCGTTGCATTAGCAACAAGTACCAAAACCTGCATTTTGCCTTGGTTTTCAGCCATAACTTTTTTCCTATTAGTCAGATCTCTTCACGTATTGTCTCATACTGTGGGTCTTATAAATAAAAGATTATTACTACTACTATTTTAATTGAATATGAATTATTTGTTTTCAATTCCAGTTTAGAAACCTTATTTGAAGAATGTTTTTGTTCCTGCCAACATTTTCGATTAAATCCCCACAAAAAAGGTTTTCTCATTCTTTTTTGTCGAGTAAAAAGTTTTCCCACAAAAAATGGTGTCCCATTTTATGCGTCCATGTTTTAAATACTTGCTTGAAGAACATCAGTAAAACCAGACTGTACAATTATTTCTGGGAAATTTGCTAATATGATTAGACTATTGAGGTATCTAGTTACCATGAACAGTTTATGTAGAATAAGAAGCCTTAGATACAATTTTGTCAATAAAATGTATTATTAGGCAAACATTTTGTTCGTCCTTTATATTTTGGATCACCCCTTTTCTTCTTACTGTCCACGCCTATTGACGGAGCAGTATTGGAATCGCGAAAATTTTCCAAAACTGGTACAGTATGTTTCTTGCATGTTTTATGAGATGTACATAACGAAAAACCATGTCACTGATTTCCGTCGATCTGTCTGTCGGTCTGTCTGCACTATAACCGCCTATAACTTGAGAAGTACTGCTCGGATTTTGAAATTTTCACACAATGACTACTATGCCAATGACGCAAAGGCGTTTTTCTGAAAATAGCTCCAGTGACGACGGAGAACGAGTCCAAAAACGAAGAATTTTAGGAATTGCCCAAACTTTGTTTTTGACGTTCCAGATCATTTTAGAAAAATAAAATAATGCTTTATTGGTGTGAGCCTGTGAATAGGATACAAAACGTCAAAAAATCTAAGATGTCGATAATAATACTTAACATGAAAAATTCGAGATTCGGAAACACGTATAAGGACAGCGAGTTACTCGCACAAAAAATCATGCAGCGGCCCCTACTGAGCGGGGCCGTGGCAAATGCTTGTTATGGAAGTTGTTGCATCTAGTATACAACTTCTTAACGTTCAAGTGATTATACACGCGTTAAGGAGGACTCTCACGACTCGTGTATTTGGCAAATATGTGTCACTTGCCTAGATTTGCCATGTAGTGAGAGTGGGTCACTCAGCCATTACTACTATTTGATACTGGCGAAGTCCCGCCGGTTGTCGGTAAAAATGCCGCGATTCAAAGGGATTTCAAATATTTGTGAATTTGGCAAGTTCATACTTGTCGATGCGCCCGCATTACTTGCCGGCTTAGCTCCAATTGATTTTTGCAGGTAGTCTGTATTTGGTTTCTATCGCGTGTGTACAGTTCTTCCGTAATGGAGTAGTGTTAAGAAGTTGTTTTTGAGTTTCTGGAGCTGTATTGTAACGGTTTCACCGTCCGATCGTATTTATTAAATCACTTCTCGATTATCATTTCATTAATCCCATCTCTAGCTTTTTTGCTTGGAAAATTTTCCGCTTGGAGCGCTTGATGCGGAGTTCCTGATCTGCGATCTTCCTCGCGCTTCTTTTCACCTGAGCCGCCGATCGAACAACGGCTAGAAATTTCTTCTCAGTAGCACAAGGTTATATAGCACCATGTGCTAGAATTTTCTAGAATGTGTGTCCGTATAGGACAAAAATGATTGGGGCCACCCCCTTTCTCTTTCCCTTTCACTTTGCCTAGCCTTGGCCAATATTTTCACCCATGCATGTGCCTTGGCAGCGCCATCGCCTTTAACTTCGCCTACAACTGGTCATGAAGCCACTATAGTGAGGTCACCCCTCACAACTGGGACCTCCACTTCAACCATCCTCGCTTCAGTCGAGTCAAAATGGACCAGCGAAAGATAAGTCGATAGCGTTATAGCAGCGCCAAAGATGTAAAACTTATTTTGTTATTTTTGTAAAATTGTAATGTAATGAAAATGCCTTTTTTTTTGTTAAATAAAATCTGTTAAATTTTTGTGTTCTGTTTGTTCTTCTATCCTCTAGCCATGCCATGGTCGGCATATAGCTACACGCCTGTAGATGTTTTCATGCCACTGACTGAGCTACCGGAAGCTAATTGTAACCCCCTTTCTGTGATTGTGCAAAAAAGTTGGAATCTTCATTGCATTCCATCTTTTCTGGACTTTTTGCGGAAAGGAAGCGTTACATAAATTGCTTTTCATTTTTGATCACTAACCTCTTAGTTTTTGAAAGTATTTCTTCATGTGCAGTTTTTTTTGATTTCTTGAGACTTTTCATGTATGCATATATAGCCTAATTGTTGGATCTCTGGTGTACTGATAAAGCTCTCATGATGTTTGGTACGTAGGAAATTTACTTTCAAAATTATTTTTGCCTTCCCCAAATGTATTTACTTTTTGAATTTTTGACTGTACTTGAACTTTTCATCATTTGTTTTCATTCTGATGGCAATAATCTACTGACTAGAGTTATCTGGAGTAAATCATTTTTCGATTTATCCATTTTTCTGAATTATATGAAATTGATATTCATAATTTTTCGTATATTTTGGCGTTTTACTTTTTTTTCAAGTATTGACACTTTGACATAGTGCGTTGATACTTACCTTTTTTTTTTCTTTCAAGAAACAAATGATGTTTTTCTTGACTATTTTTTTGCTACTTTTCAATGGGGGGTGACTCCTAAATCATTTTTACCTATACAAAGACACACATACTCATTTATGGTAATTAAATGTCAACTTGTTGTTTAAATATATAGTATACGTTCCTCAGTAACTATTGTAGTAATTTTGTCTCTTGTTTGGAGCATAAGTTTTCATAATTTTAATGTTTTATAGTTTTATCTGGCATATTCTTTGGGAGAAATTAGAACATTAGTGTCTGATTTTCCATTGGATTAACAGGACTTGAACGTCTCTGTACTTTTTTAATGTATGTCAGATATAAAATAATTTTTTTAAGATTTGGCTGCTCCTGTTTTTGTATTGAAATTTTTTGTTTGTATTGTTAGTTTTTATAGTGTTTTGGATCCTTGTCATTTATTGATGTATTCACGTTTTTAACTTTAATTTTTTTTTAAATATAATAATTACAAAAATATTTCCGCTCAATCGAAGGGGGCGAGTTTTTCCATCTGTACAGAGGAGCGAGTAGGTTTTCCTATGTTTATTTCCTAGTACAGATGCGAACGGAGAAGAATTTCCTTTGATAATGATTAAACTTATTTGCTGTAAGAGGCAGCTGAATGTTTACTTTGGACATTTAACATCGTTGATCCTTCAACCTTTTGAAATATTACAATCAGTCCAATACCCATATTTCCGCTCAATCGAAGGGGGCGAGTTTTTCGATCTGTACATTGGAGCGAGTAGGTTTTCCTATGTTTATTTCCAAGTACAGATGCGAACGGAGAAGAATTTCCTTTGATAATGATTAAACTTATTTGCTGTAAGAGGCAGCTGAATGTTTACTTTGGACATTTAACATCGTTGATCCTTCAACCTTTTGAAATATTACAATCAGTCCAATACTCATATTTCCGCTCAATCGAAGGGGGCGAGTTTTTCGATCTGTACAGTGGAGCGAGTAGGTTTTCCTATGTTTATTTCCTAGTACAGATGCGAACGGAGAAGAATTTCCTTTGATAATGATTAAACTTATTTGCTGTAAGAGGCAGCTGAATGTTTACTTTGGACATTTAACATCGTTGATCCTTCAACCTTTTGAAATATTACAATCAGTCCAATACCCATATTTCCGCTCAATCGAAGGGGGCGAGTTTTTCGATCTGTACATTGGAGCGAGTAGGTTTTCCTATGTTTATTTCCAAGTACAGATGCGAACGGAGAAGAATTTCCTTTGATAATGATTAAACTTATTTGCTGTAAGAGGCAGCTGAATGTTTACTTTGGACATTTAACATCGTTGATCCTTCAACCTTTTGAAATATTACAATCAGTCCAATACTCATATTTCCGCTCAATCGAAGGGGGCGAGTTTTTCGATCTGTACATTGGAGCGAGTAGGTTTTCCTATATTTATTTCCTAGTACAGATGCGAACGGAGAAGAATTTCCTTTGATAATGATTAAACTTATTTGCTGTAAGAGGCAGCTGATTGTTTACTTTGGACATTTAACATCGTTGATCCTTCAACCTTTTGAATCATTACGTCAGTCCACCATGTACAAAATTTACAAGTAATAATTATTTTTATGATTCCAATTTAATGTGTATACTTCATCTTTTGAATATTTCATTTTTCTGAGTTTACTCAAAATTAAAATTGCATTCCCGATTAAAATCATGTGACAAATACTGTGTATAATATTTTATAATGTTTTTATGCGTATATTTTCTGAATTTCTTTTACATACTTAGGTACCTCTATTTTTGAAGTCTATTACTTTTGAAGTTTTTGATAGTATCCTCTTTTTGAATTCATTATAACTTTCTTCGAGAGCACAGACTTACATTGATTTTTGGTTCAAACTTTTGATGTTTGTTCACATATTTTTGAGTGGTTTTGAACTTTGACAGTATTTTGCAGTCTGGATAGTTACATAGATTCGTTGCGATGTATGCCTTTGAGGGTCTTGTACTATCCACAGTTTCTTTAATTGAAAGTGTTTTCTTCATATGCATTTTATTTTCTTCTTGAGACTTGTCATATATGCTTTCCGCCTAGTTGCAAATCTGTGCGTATTGATAAACTCTTGAAATCTCTGGCGTATAAGTAAAACTCACTTTTGATATAGTAATTTATGTCTCAGTTCAATTCAATCAGTTCAATTTGATTTGAAGTAATTGTCAACTCCTTCTTGAGATTTTTCATATATGCTTTCAGCCTTTGTGCACATTTGTGCGTATTGCTAAGTCTTGAGCTTGGTTGCGACATTGCTTTCATGTTTCGCTATAGATTTTGAAATATCTGGTGATTTTGCTTTTGCATTATTGCATTTGTTTTGATAGTCTGCTCTCATAATCTTTTTTCCGGCTTCTTATTTCTTTCAATTTCTGTCTTGACTTGAAGTAATCGCCAATTCTTATAGATTCAGTATAGTAATTCTCTTCTCATATTTTACACTGGTAAATTATTATAGTTTTTCTAATCTTGTAATATTTCATATTTGAACTTAACTTTCATTTTACAATGATATGGTTATTTTCAGTGTAGACTTTGAAGTGCGCTGATGATATCAGTGATCTACATGAGAATATTCCATAGACTATAGACATTCTTGTCTAGGGCTTTGGAATGCACCTATGGTGACCCTAGAAAGTTGTCTTTCTCTCATATTTTTGCTTTAAATCAAAATTCGAATTCTTACCTATCATATTTATTTCTATTTCATGTTCACTAGATTTTTTTTATAACTCCAATTTTGCACCTACATATATCGTAGTCTTTTGCATACAATTTTTGCTTGCGGCATTACTCTCATGTATCATGATTTAATAAAATATCTTGTGATTTTCGTTTCGCTATTTTGCATTTTACATATGCTCACTTCGTTTCTCATTTATTACTCATGAAACTTTTAATATTTTGCTTACTTTTAAATTTTTTTGAGAACCCTTTATAAAATCATGCTCATATAGCTTTAATATTTCCTTTCACTTTATGATTTTAACACTATTAGATTTACAGTTGCACTTGTGTTGCACTTAGTTTTTTTGGAAATTTATTTTGCTCTTTTCTATATTGTACTTCAAATTTTTTTTTTGGTCTGGTTCTTATGTTGTCATATGACCCGAAAATTTTGATTTAACTTACTCTTGAATTTTAGTTCATTGATTGAACTTAAGCGATATTTTGACTTTGAAAATCTTAATTCAATATTTCATGAATGTCCCTTATATACTTTAATTCTCTGAAAATATTTTGAATTATTTTGTAGTCTTACAGACTGCTGGCGCCCGATAATTTTTTTGTGGAATCAGAACTGCACTCAGTTAACATCTTTTTTTGATTAAAATACCTTCGTGATCAAGTTTTCACTGGTTTAGTACTTGTAAATTGTTTTGTTATATAACTGGAATTCTTAATAGAATTTGTTAATTTCTTTTGATTTTCATATTTTGAAAATAGTAATGCACAGTTTTTTTATATTGGATATTGGTTTAAAATATCACTGTAGATCATAATCTTTTTGGGTTTGGAGTATTGCGAGATAATCTGGCAATTGTTTTGAGAAAGATTATTATTTTTTTAGTACCTCTTATGGTTTAGGTACTTACTTAGTTTTGAAGTTTTTAGTAGTCAGTCGTGCATTTTGGATGCCATTGTGATTCGTGCTTGGACTACTGCTGAAACTTTTGGTTTATTATTTTTCTCGTCTTAGGTATGACGATGTTTTATGTTTTGGGTTTTTCATCATATGATGATAGTTTTTTTTTAGTGCAACTTCACTGTACTTTTCAGCGAGTTGGTGCTATAACCATCCCTCTTGTTTGGTAGACTTGAGGCTATCCCTTTTTCTTCCAATTCTCTTCTAACATTTTTGTTTCTACCTTACTTTTACTACTTGTTATCTGGTCGAATGGTTGTACATTTGTCCTTCCGAGATAACTTTCAATTTCCTAGTAAAAAAAAAAAATTCTTAAATGCTTCTTCGATTTTTTTTTTTGGTTAAGTTGGGGCGAGTGTAACGGTTTCACCGTCCGATCGTATTTATTAAATCACTTCTCGATTATCATTTCATTAATCCCATCTCTAGCTTTTTTGCTTGGAAAATTTTCCGCTTGGAGCGCTTGATGCGGAGTTCCTGATCTGCGATCTTCCTCGCGCTTCTTTTCACCTGAGCCGCCGATCGAACAACGGCTAGAAATTTCTTCTCAGTAGCACAAGGTTATATAGCACCATGTGCTAGAATTTTCTAGAATGTGTGTCCGTATAGGACAAAAATGATTGGGGCCACCCCCTTTCTCTTTCCCTTTCACTTTGCCTAGCCTTGGCCAATATTTTCACCCATGCATGTGCCTTGGCAGCGCCATCGCCTTTAACTTCGCCTACAACTGGTCATGAAGCCACTATAGTGAGGTCACCCCTCACAACTGGGACCTCCACTTCAACCATCCTCGCTTCAGTCGAGTCAAAATGGACCAGCGAAAGATAAGTCGATAGCGTTATAGCAGCGCCAAAGATGTAAAACTTATTTTGTTATTTTTGTAAAATTGTAATGTAATGAAAATGCCTTTTTTTTTGTTAAATAAAATCTGTTAAATTTTTGTGTTCTGTTTGTTCTTCTATCCTCTAGCCATGCCATGGTCGGCATATAGCTACACGCCTGTAGATGTTTTCATGCCACTGACTGAGCTACCGGAAGCTAATTGTAACCCCCTTTCTGTGATTGTGCAGAAAAGTTGGAATCTTCATTGCATTCCATCTTTTCTGGACTTTTTGCGGAAAGGAAGCGTTACAGTATGAACATGAGCCGGTTATATGGCAGCCTAGGCATCCACAGCATAAAAATAGAAACTCTATTAACGATGCCTGGCTTCGCATTAAAAATAAAATATCCATCGAATGTACGATTGCGGATTTGAAAAAGAAAAAGGAGTCGTTAATGGCGACATTCCGACCATTGTGGAAGAAAGTTAAGGCATCATCAAAAACAGGGGCCGGCAGCAGGGACGTTTATAAACCAACTTGGTTTGCATTCGATAAAATGGAAAGTTTTCTACATGGTGTTTCCGAGGCAAGAAATACATATAATTCAAAGGTGAGTGAAAAATTACTTTATTTCATGAAATTATAGGAACGGTGCAATTAAAATTTAACAGTAGAGCACAAGTCATTGTAACTTTTCTGACTTTGTCGGTTTGTAGTAGCATAGGTGCTCTAAATATCCGGAAGACCGACGCTAGTATGCCGAATGCGTTCTCAACAATACGCCGAGCATGAGACAACCGGTAATTGAAGACTCTTTCATCGCTGCCTGCTTCGTAAGCTCCCTGAAATGGTTTTAATAAATGGGGTCCCAAAGCGAAAGCATCATCTGCAACGAAAACATAAGGGAAAGTAGTTTGAGTATAATTGGGTAAAGATTCATCTTTGGGTAACATCAGACTATTTTCTTCGAGCTTTCTGCCCAAAACGGTATTGCGGAATACACCTCCGTCACTTATACGACCTTGGCATCCAACATCCACATATGTGAACATGTAATTGGCATCCACAAGTGCCATCAAAACGACACTGAAGGTGTGTTTATAATTAAAAAAATCTGATCAAATATTTATTGGGCTCTGAATCAGTATATGCTTCCCGTCTATAGCTCCCAAGCAATGAGAAAAATTCCACCTATTTTCGAATTCAACTGCAATTGTTTTCCATTCATTTGAACTTCTCGGTATCTGAAATAAATAAAAAAATACTAAATAGGAATATTTAATCAGCGTTACAAATGAATATACTTCGAGGTACATCATTGAAATCCCCTACTATACTACGGCTTGAGTTAAATTATGAGAACGCTGCGTATTTTGTTGCCCAGTAATGTGTCGCTGGAATTTGTACGGTTAATTTCTTCAATTATAATGATAAATCATGCTTAGAAGCTATAACATCATTTCTTCAATTTCAGAATTGGGAGGATAGCATGGATGGACAGGAAACCGAAGAAGATATACTCACGGAATCTGTGTCTGCAAGTGAGGATGTTGGTAACGAAATCGCGGCAAACACGGAATCTTCATAGGCGATCAAAGAGGGTGGACTCGAAAAAAGCAACCAAAAGCATTTCAAGGCACCAGTTGGGGGCTCAAATAAGAATAAAAGGAAGGCCGTGGACATGGAGGAGAACAACCGTCGTATGGAAGAAGCCTATGAAATCCTGAAAAAAAACTCAAAATACCGAACCACCCAAAACCACACTTTGTACTGCCTATGGGCAATTAGTTGCTAAGCGGCTAGAGGTGTTAAGTGAAGTGAACAGGATTATTGTGATGAACGAGATTGATAACGTATTATTCAGGGCTACAATGAGGTCCATGGGACGCCAATATCAATCAGCATCTCCAAGATCAGCTTCTTTCTATTCTTCTTCGATGGGACTTCAATATCAACCAACATTTCCAGAACCAGCCTCCCCAGCATCTTTTTATTCATCATCGTCTGATGAAGCTTTTCATACAACTCCGAGGATAACCTCTTTGAAACTAAATTCCGCAACTTCTTCCGTCCACCAACCGTCTATTGCTCCTGTGATTCCAACAACTACATGCCATGATATGTCCGTTCTAACAGAAAAGTACACTAATCTTTGACCATACTTTAATTTGATTATGCTTTGACCTTATTTCATAACAATAAGTTGTATCACATACTAAATAAATAAATCTTTGTTGTATACTTACTTTTATTTGATCGTTGAGAACGTATTGGGATACAACTTGTGGAGAAAATTTGAAAAGGTACGACAAACTCACAAAACTGTCTCCACTAGCAAAGAACCTGAGCGCAACGCAGAACCTTTCCTTAACTCTCATCTGAGTATCTTTTTTCCCTATCATACCCACTTAATTCAGTAGAAATTCGAAGTCGGTGTAGGACATTCGCAGGAAATTATCTAGCATTCCTGACGGTTCCCGAATCAGATCCTCTATCATCATGGAGGCATTCTACCTGCAAATAGAAAAACCAGTTTTTACTAGTATATTAAATTTGAGAATATGAAGATATGGTATCTGCTTTTGGTCGACCAAGACAGATAGAGGTATCAACTTACCTCTCTCGACTTCTGTTCAAAGAAGTCATCTACCATCTTTTTCTTTTTGCCTTCTGAGCTTGATGAGCTTTAATTCTTCTTAAGCAGTCACTCAATACCACAACCGCGACAACGCGACCGTCCATGGTAGAAACAAAATTAATACTGAGGCCCGATAGGCGACGAAACCGGCTGTACTTGCCGAGTACACAAATATTGGCGTACTTGCGAAATACAGGAGTAGTGAGAGCGTCGTATCTGAAAAATTGAGTTCAACCTTGATGTACTTGGCAAATAGACAAGTATTGGCGTACTTGCCAAACAGACGAGTAGTGAGAGTCCGCCTTTAAGGAATACCTCAGTACTGATTGCCGAGTGGCGCTACAAGTCCGCCAACGGGCCACTTTAGGTATATTTAATATCACTAACACGTAAAAAGAAGGTGGTAGACAAGGACCAGTCGACCGAGGTGGTACCACCCGCTAGCTTTTCCCAGGGTGTCTTATAAATGTCCGCATGTTTCCACACCTAAGCTATACAGTCGGCTATCTTCCAAAATAAAGAAATTAATGATGATGGATCCCTCGAGCACTAAGAACTCCGGACGTAAACTCACTCCACCCTCGGAATGTCCGGGTGGAGGGTGGGCTCGAGGGAACAACATCGAAGATAAAATTTGTTTTTCGAACATCTGCTGGATTAACAGCAGCAGTTTTGCTGTTCATCACTACCTGCAATGAAATCGTCCCGCCGTGCTTTTCTTGGCGGAGACAAAAACCTCAGAGTTTGCACCGATTAACCATCTCAACTTCCCAAACTAGGAGGTGTACTCCAATCTGAGAAAGAACGGGGGAGTGTGGCTTTTGTCCACAGCAGTCTTTCCTGCTCCAGAGATGTTTCTTTGGAATCAGACCGGAGGAACATTCTGTGGCTTTGCCTCAACTCCAAAACATCACCCAAATTTATTTGTTGCCTTTATCGCTCTCCCTCGGACCATAACTGGGATGACCTACTCGAATGCCTTGCCGTCCAGATCGACTTTCTGAAAATCAATCACCCCGCTACAGAGGTAGTTCTTCTCGGTGATTTCAATGACCATAATAAGCTTTGGTTGGGCTCAAACAAGACCGATGCAGCAGGTCGTGCAGTAGAAGCGTTCGCTCTTACTCAAGGGCTGACCCAGCTGGTGACGAGCCCTACTTTTTTCTCCCGCGTCTCGTCACACGCCAGTAACCTGTTGAATCTGTTTCTGACCACGCATCCTTTCCCTTACAGCACTGCCGTCCTGTCCCTCCTCGGTAACTCAGACCACGGTGTTGTGGAGGTTAGGTTTCGGTCAGAACCCTCAGAGACTTCTTCTCTAGCTTTCCTTGGAGAGAAGTCTGTTTCACTGACACGGATGCGTCGGCTGTCTGTTCTTCGATAACAGAAATTATTCACGTCGGAATAGAGGAATACATCCCTCACACAGTGAAAGTGCCTAAACCAGGGTCGAACGGCTGGTTTAACAAATCGTCTGACACTACTCGCCAGCATAAGATCAAGGCACACCGAACCTTCTTACAAAACCCCACTGTAGAGAACAGACAAGCCGACGTCGATTCCAGAAACAAATATAACGAAGCGGTTCGCAATGCCAAAAACCAGCACGATATAAAAGTTAGGCACAGGGTCGCAGCACAATGGCAGTCAGTCTTTCTGGACGCTGGCCAAGCAGATTAAAAAGAACTTCACACAGTAGCCTTCCACCAGTTACGTGTCAGGATGGAACTACTGTATTCGACTCAAAGGCCAACGCGGAAGTGCTAGCCAAGATCTGTGCTGCCAACTCCACGTCCCCCCAATGCCCAAAGGGTTTTCCCTACACTATGCGGGATGTGACATTCAGGCATAAGACCGTAAGACGAGTGCTCTTGTCGCTCGCCATCAACAAAGCTGCTGGTCCGGACTTGAACTGAAGAGGTGTGCAACGGAGCTTGCTCCAGTTCGTTCGCGTCTCATCGGGATATCTTATGAATCCGGTACCTTCCCAGAAAACTGGAAATTTGTTCATGTCCAACCCATCCCAAAAAGAGGATCTAAGACCGACCCTTACAACTACAGGCCTATAGCTCTGCTTTTTGTTATAAGTGAGGTGATGGAGATGTGCATAAATCGCGAGCTTCTGGACTACCTCGAACGTCACAGCTTGATTTGCGACAGGCAACTCATCCAGTCTTATTGTGAGTCTCATGACGTTGCTCTTGACATCATAAAAGCGTTCGATGCCCTCTTAAGCAAAGTTCCATCCAATGGCCTCCCAGAAATGCTATGCAGATGGGTGGCTGACTTTATCTCTGGCCGCAAGATATCCTTCGTAATTGACGGGTTTTCCTCTTCATCCCACAACGTTAACGCGGGTGTTCCCCAGGAATCGGTGTTGGCTCCAACACCGTTTCTCTTACATATCAACGAGCTCCTTTCCTGCATGGTCGACCCAATCCACAGCTTCGCGGATGACAGAACACTACATGCAGAAATTCAGAGTGAAAGAATCTCTGCCGCTGAGCTGGAAAAACGAAGACTAGCGACGACTTCCTCTCTGATCAAAGACCTGGAGACTATCACTGTTTGGGAACGCGACAATCTTGTACAGTTCAATGCTTCCAAAACACAGTACTGTACTTTGACGAACAAAAAGCGTCCTAGCGCTCATCCGGTTTCGATGAACGGCCAAGTTCTGCCAAAGAGCCATTCATTTCGGTTGGTCGGACCTGATCTGGCACGAACACATCTCGTCAATAGATGCAGCTGCTGGGAAAAAGCTAGGCTATTTGTTTAGGGCTAAGAAGTACTTTTCTCTGCATGATCTTCTCACTCTATACAAGGCCCAGATAAGGCTGGCCTCGAGTATTGTTTACACGTTTTGGGTGCTGCCGCCCCGACTACATTATCCATGCTCGATGCTGTCCAGAGGAGGGCGGTCCGACTGATCGATGACTCTTTTCTAACAGACTAACGGGCTTTGCTCCTCAGAGCTCTCTTCCATGATGCCACCGCGCGATGTGCCTGCCAGACAGACCTGCCTGACTTTGGCGTCCCATCCTAACCGTGTCGAACTTCGTACATACAGAACTGGCCGATACGACTGCTCCTTTGTCCCGAAGGTGTCGAGATTGTGGAACAATCTACAAGAGGAAGCTTTTCCCAGTTCTACTAACCTTAGGCAATTCAAAAATCGTAATAACTAAATTTCTTTGGGATCATCATAGCAGCCGCGGTGTTCCGGCATTTAGGGTTCTGCCTGAGCGGCTGCTTCGATATAAAAACTGTACTATAAAATGCTTCATTTAGCAAAATGACCCCAAGTGTACTTTCAAAGAAAGATAAGGTGGTAACATCTAAAGGCGATTTATTATACGTGGTAATTACATAAATACATCGGACTCTTTTTATAACCACTGAGGTTGAAATTATGAATATGAATATGGTTATTATAAATATCTAGTATTGTAGGCGTGTATCCCACTGCGCTTTGGGGAATAAATCTGTATTTTCTTTAAGAAATAAGCAGGACTCATAGATCAATATTGTCGGTAACGTTGAATTTATATTGTCTACAGCTGCCCAGTGGATTGAGACCAAAGACTGATATAATCAGCCTCGTTTGTAGAATGAATATTCTCTATGCCCTAAGAAATACCCCAATATAATAATACATGTATAATCAAGTACCTCATATCACAGTATGGTATTGCAAAATAAGTATCTAGGAGACACCTATAACTAAATAGTCCCCGTGTGTTTCTCAATGCAAAGTACGATTAGTATATTCTGCGGTTCTCATGTAAAGGTCCAGAAATTTGTGGCTTTCTACATTATCTATGGTAGTACTGTGTGGCGCGAGCGTCAGAGCAGGTACAGTTCGGCTTTTATAGAAAGCTAAATACTTTATTTTTGATGTATTTACTATCAACTTGCTTTGCGCAATCCATTCTAAAAATTTTGCTAAAATTGTGCTTTATCTTCGAGTTGTTCGGATGACTCTCCGCTTATAGTGATAGTTGTGTCATCTGCGTATTGTACTACTCCGATGTCCTCATCAATCTAGCCCCGCCGCTCATATAATTTATAAACAGCAGGAATAAGAGGGGTAATGGTATACATCCCTGAGGAACCCCAAGTCTACTTCCAAGGTATCTGGTGTGGCATCACTCACTCTTACTTTTATTTTTCAGTTCGATACAAAAGATTTTATCCATGCATCTACTATTGAAGTAAATCCCCTACGTCTAGGCTTTTCAATTAGAAGGTTATGACTAATGGAATCAAGAGCTCGACTTAAGTTGATATTACGCAATTTTTACTCATCTTTCATGTCCCCGTAAATTTACCCTTAAAATTTAGAAATATCTCCAACAGTCGGGTGTCGATCCATGCGGCGTGGTCTGCCGATGGACAAGCGCCGACGTCGGTGCTTGTACGTTACAGCCGGCAATCGCTTGCGCTCTGGGAATGATGAAGACCGATATCGTCGTTCACGCGGGATTGGTCATCGCAACGATCATGTGGGCCTGCAAGTATTCCTGTCAGGGGAAGGAGGAAGGCCATTTACATTTTTGTTGTACATGTCCGTACCTAATTTTTTTCTACAGGGTAAACTTAATTGACGTCATTTTTCACATATTTTTTTTAATACCGAAGCAGCCACGCAGGTACAAGACTAAATGTCGGGACACCGCGGCTGCTATGAGGATCCCAAAGGAATTTTGTTAATCCGATTTTTGAACTGACTAAGGTCAATAGAAGTGGGAAAGGTCTCCTCTT